TAGACACTATGTACAAATGAAATAAAACATTTTAAAAAGGTTTCCATTTTTCTTTCATATCAGTTTAAACATTAAAAACAATATATATATTATTAAAAGAGTTTGAGACGGACAAACTGCTCCTTCACGTCGTACGTATTTTCTCAAACTTCGCGTAAGCGTGAGTCTCAGGTTCAAGAGTTTATTGAAGAACGCGGTTTTTAGTATAAGACGTAAAAATTGCCAGAAATTATCACCAGGTGATCACTTTATTAATTAAAAAGTAAAAAAAGAATATTACGTTCCCTTCTTATTATCAAAATTATCTTTACCAACTTAGTGCCAAGACAATATAGTACAATATTTCGAAGGTTGTGAGAAAGAGCACAGAATAAAACATGATTATTTACAAATATAACACATTAAACCGTTTCCGGATTTTTCCATTAACATGTGTGATCCTATGTGGACATATATTTTAATTTTTCAAGGTTTCTGTTTTGCAAATATCATGAAAATACTGCTTTAAAGTCTACAAAGATATACTTACAATAGCCAGATTGTGGAGAGTATTGAGAAAAGGACGATTGTTGCCGTTCCGAACATTGTGCCAACTTAGAACCTAAGCAATAAACAACGCAACAGACTAACAAAAGAATTGTGGTTAAGAAACAACGAAGCAATCACGTCTGAAATAAGAGAACTTAGGCACTTTAACCTTTATATGACGAAGTAGGACTTCTCTATATGACTCTCGACACAAATATTCCACACAATTCGCTACTACTTGCGAATGAAACAGCCGAGTAGCGGTGACGCTTCTTACCCTGTTTAAAAAGGATTTTGAGGCCGGCCGTCCAGCTATTAGAGCCAATCAGAGCTAGGTTTATAAAGAACTGCTACGTCTCCGTTCGTTAATTGATTTCCCGTAAATTCGTTCCGACGAAACTTTAGCAACACAAGTCCTTTCTTAAATAAAACTGGTTTATTCTTTCCGAATACAACTTTCCGATACACTTAATTTCAACAGTCGCTCTGTAACAACACTATAATTCACGTCTCATGTGGCCAACAATATTTTGTCCGCATACATTCAATTACTCATTAACTACACTGTTCCGTCACGCCGTGACCATCTTATATATACCGTACCACCCCCAATCTAGCAAATGCTAGGGCACTCCCGAAGGAACAGGATATTTCTGGAAAACGGGTGGCGTGATATTAGTCACGTAACCTCGCTGACGCAACACTCCAAATGTACAGAATTACAATTCAACAAAGTCTCTTAATTTTACGG